GGAAGACCCTCTATGAGATGGATTGATTCGGTGACTGGGGTAATCGGGATGGGTGTGTCAGAAGCAGTGTGGTTGGCGCAGGATAGAGCAGGGTTTAGGGCTGTTGTGCATAGGGTCGCTAGGAGGCGGAAACGACTCGACGGCACATAACAACAACAACAACAATAGTTGTTAAGTGCTGTCAAGTCCGATTTGTGTACCTTATTTACAGTAGCTCAATCCTAAGCCAATTTCTTCGTCTCTGACACATTAGCTCATTCACTGAATCAATTAACTTCATTGAGGGTCTTCCTCTCTTAGTGCTATCTCTCCCCCTTCCAAGCATGATGTCCCTCTCCAAGGACTGGTCTCTCTTTGCAACATGCCCAGAGTATGTCAGAAGGAGCTTTCGAATTCTTGCTTCTAAGGAGCAGCCTGGCTTTACCCTCTCCAGGTCGGACCTGTTTGTTCTCTTAGCAGTCCATGGTGTCTTCAGTACTCTTCCAGCACCATAACTCATAGGCATCAATTCTTCTTCTGTCATCCTTAGTCATTGTCCAGCTCTCTAATGCATACATAGTAATTGTGAAGACCATGGTCTGAATTAGGCACACTTTAGTCTCTAGACTAACATCATTGCTCTCCAGTACTCTGGCGAGGTCCCTGACAGCAGATTTTCCCAGTGCAATTTGTGATTTGATTTCCTGGCTGCTGGCACAAAGAGTGTTAATTGTGGAGCTAAGCAAACTGAAGCTGTCAGTAGTCTCAGTCTCTTCACCATCTGTCATGATGCTTCCAATTGGTCCAGTGGTGTTAGATTGTTGTAAAGGTACATTACTAATCTCTTAAGGATATGGGAGCCATTTTATAGGCTTTTTACTTTATTTTGTTATTGAGAATATGCACTGTAAATCATAAAATCGAAATCTAGCAATTTCTACATGTACAGTTTAGTGACCTTACTTATATGTGAGTTGTGTAACCATTTTCACCTGCCTTTTATGAATTGTTCCTTCCTTATTAGCATAAATTCATTGTTCCTTATGATTTCTATCTCATTTTTTGAGTGGCTTTTGGCAATTTTATATTATAGGTCATTCTTAAGAGCACATTGCTCAAGGACAACCTTTTTAACTAAATAATACTGTTATTTAGTTTAAAGATGAACTTGAAAAATATTCTTTGTTAAAGTTCAAATGTTATGTCAAGGAAATTGCTTCATGGCTGTTCCAATATTTTCAGGAAGTTGAATTTCATGAAATTTTAAAAATTCAGTTTTGTATCTTATACATTTTAATCACAATTCTACAATAATCTTTTTAGGATCTGGTGCCTAGTTACATGGACCTGTGAGGTGTGAGTTATGTGATAAATGGGTAAATGTCATTTTTACCTAGACGGAATATCTTTAAATTCGTCTAACATTCTCTTCGACATTGGTGAATTTTGTCACAGGAATGGAGGGAATATAGGATCCCTCAAACAACTTGATGAGAAATATACTTTGATTCTAACTTGAAAGCTTGCAGTTCTGATCAAGTGAGAGATGTGGTTGTGACACAATAAAGTGATGCTTTAGTCACAGCATGCCCTGGCAACAACCTGTTTACTGTGGTATTATTTATGGGCTTGTCAAGCTACTGGAGATCTTGATGAATTATAAAAGGGAAAGTAACGAAACATCTTAAAATAATGATTCCAAGGTATCTTCTCTGGTCTTTAGTAGCAATTGGAATTACAAGTAAGTGATTAGTTTTGCTCATATCTGGTTCTGAGATGACATAAAATTTTGCTGCTGTATCAGCTTTAATTCGTTGATAGTATCGTTTTGAGCATTTTTAAGAATTATTCTGAACTATTTAAGATCTTGCTTAGTTGGGAAGAAGACTTATAAAGAGTATCACTGTCACAGATGCACAGTGCCCTTTGATTTTACTTCTCATTGTTTTTAGCATCTCTATGAGAAAACAGGCTCCGGGAGATGAAGAACTTCAATTATTTAGCATCTAACTAGCACTGTGCTGGACTCATCATGGGCACTCAGGAATTTGCTGAGTTAATGGATAGATGGATGAATGAATGAATGAATAAGTAAATTAAGACCAGGAAGTGTGAAAACTCTATAAAGAGGTTAAGAATGGACAGTAGGATGTGATTAGGTACCACTGCTCTGACACACAGTGCTGCTATTACTGGATAAGCAAGGTATAGTGCTTGGTGTATATAGAATTTCAAGAGAGTGTGGTTCATATACTTAGCTTCCAAAAGCTCCTAATGTTTGAAATGATTAGGGATTGTGTTCAATGAAGGTTTGGAAGAAAGTACTTGAACAACTAGTTTTGTTCCTGAAATGGGAGGCATAGAAGTGAATGCAAAGGTGCACTGCTTTAGGATCTTAAACCTTTTTTCTTACTCTAATGTGATTCTTTTTTCTTGAGTTTTTGCCTTGGTAAGATGACAGTCATGCTTCCCACCTTTTTCTCTTGTTATCGTTGGAATGGAATATTTTGACTGATTAGAAAGTTTTGCTTCAGTTTATATGCCAAGATGAAAATTAGCCCTTATTTTAAAAAGTAGAAATCTTTTCCAGCTAAAGATTATTATTGTTGTTATGTGCCGTCGAGTTGACACAGTTATAATATCTGTTTTTGTGGAAATGGTTTATAGTATTTCCAGGTTAATGTGAGTTGCAGAAAACTCTTCGTTTCATAGTATATTTTAGAAAGCTTTATGGTTAATAATTACCTGTTTGTGCTTAGAAAGAAAGGGGGAAATAAGTACTTTCCATGAAGCATAATTTTTCACACTGGTCACTCTATGAGCATGTACTCTGTATTCCACCTCTTTAAGGTTGGCATCTCCTCCCCACAGTTGGTTCTTGCTTCAGTTACTGAGTTTTAATTTTTTTTTAATCTGGAGAAAGGATAGCAATTATAATCCGTCCAGACACTTTTGTAAGGATTATATGAGATCTTTGAGATAAAGTCCAAAGACTAGTAAGGGTTCAGTTTGGTGACCGTTGTGAATATTATTGATAGAGCTCTGATAGTCCAGTGGTAAGAAGCTGTGCTACAATCCCAGAGGCATGCGCTTTGAATCCACCAGCTGCTCCATGGGAGAAGCATCTCTTCCTGTGTGATTATTGACTCTGAAAACCCGCTGGGGAGTTAGCTCTGGGTCAGTTCCGACTTTGTGGTACATAACAACAACAACAACAACAACTACTATTACTGTCAGTAAAGAAGAGGAGGACCATGGCTGAGATGGGGTGACACAGTGGCAATGGAGTCAGGTGTGTCAGAGATGATGAGGCAGGCTCAGCATAGGACAGGGTGCAGAGCCATTGTTCACAGGGTCCCTGTGAGTCATAGTCAGCTTGATAGAGCACACCACCACCACCACCACTGCTATGGACTCATTGTGCTTGTATCAGTTATTATGTATTTACTTTTGAAGGTGATGACCCACCATCACAAAATATAAAAGCCCTCTGCTAACTTAGGAAGAGCTCTGCTAACTTAGTGGTCAGGAATTACGGTGTCAACTCAAAGGTACGCAGTTTGGATCCACTAGTTGCTCTGTGGGAGAAATACGGACCATCTCTTTCCATGCTATTTACTGCCTCTGAAAACCTGCCCCGAGGGTCAGCTCAACAGTATACAACAAGTACTAATACTGCTGTTACTAATTATGCTTGTATCACTTACTATTTCTTTTTAGATAAAATGGCTAAACTTCACACCAGAGTTTTAATGTAAATGTAAATAATAATGGTTAATAGTTTTTATGTTTTCTTTTCATATAGGTTGAATGTAATTTTTACAAAATTTGATGAAGTCCAAAAATCTGGAAACATGATACAATCTGCAAATGGTGAGTAGGAAAAGCAGTTATGCTGTTAAAACCTTAACCACTGCTCACCTCCTCTTCGATGTCTGAAACTACAGCAGTATCCCTGACTTTGTCATTACCAGTACTGAATCTTTTGTTGGCTTTAAAAAATACATCTTGAGTCCAGACTTGTCACCATCTTCATAATACAAGTTATTATGGCATGTCTTTGTCTTTTTTGTGTGTTATCTTTTGTCTGCTCTCTCCCTACACCTTAAGTATGTTTTCATATAGCAATAAAAGTACTTGTTTTAGGATATAAATGAGGTTTCATATCAACATCCTATTCCGAATCCTCTGAAGCATTCTCATTGGACGTCGATGACAATTCAGGGGCTCACCAAGACCGACCCTGCCTCCATTCTGATGTCATCTTGCATCATTCTGCTCCAAGCATGCTCCTTCAGAGGTTTCAGAAGCTCCCTTGTTGCTTTTGTCACCTTTAACAAGTTGGCTGAGCCCCACCCACATTAAGAAAGGTCATTAATCAGACCAACTGATTTATTCATAGGTAACTACTTTTTGATAACAATTTGACTAATATTTGACCACAAACACTTACTTGCACACTATAGAGTGGACAAGTTGACACATGAAAAGTAAACATCGCATAAACTTTTCCTTTTTAATTTTATACTGACTTACAAAGTTTGGATACATTATTTTTAACCCCAATCTTTCCCATTTCCTTTACCCACCCCTCTGTCTACCCATTAAATTGTGTGACTCTATGATTAACCCCACCACCACCCATCCTCACCCCCCATCCCCCCACCCCTTCAATCCTCATTCACGTTCTACAGTAATGATCTTAAACAGTATTCTTACAGGATTGTGTGGGTTAACTTAACATAGTGAACTCTAGTCCCTCATAAGTTAGGTAATGATTTACAAAATATTTCTCCAGTGTGCTGCATACATAGTATTCCATTGTGTGAATTTATCATAATTTCTCAATCTGTTTGATTGTGGTTGGACATTTGGGCTGTTTCCACATTCTTGCAATGGTGAATAAGGCTGCTATGAACATTGGTGTGCAAGTCCACGTTTTTGCCTCAGTTCTCATTCTCTTGGGGTATATTGCAAGCGGTGGAATACCTGGGTCATAAGCAATTTCCACGTTAGCTTTCTTAGGAAACGCCGTACAGCCTTCTGGAGTGGTTTTACCATTTTATAATCCCACCAACAATGCATAAGAGTTCCTTTTTTGACACATCATCTCTAGCATTTATTACTTGCTGTAATAAACTGTTTTCATAGATCTTTGTCTCTGGCCCAGATTTTGCCTTGGAGTTGGTTGTAGCAATGCCTAGTTGACATGTCCTCTTAATATTTGCAACATACCATCAAACCAGACAGAATTCTCTCTCTTGCTGAGAAATCATAAGATATAACTCATCCTAGAGCTGTGCTCTTCTTCCTGAGTCAGCTGCCACTTCTCCTCATCTCCAGCATTCTTTTTTTTTTGCAGTTTTTATGGTTTATTTAGCACAAATAAAATGTGCAAACAAGCTTTCTATTCATTTTCTTCACTGCGCAGTCTGGCATTGGGATTGGTGACTCTAATGGCCAGCCGGGCTGCTCTTTCCACAATGGCTTTGCGGTTCTTGGAGGAAACATTGTGCACAATCTCAGCACAGTGAGATTTGTTGCACATCAGCAGCACCTCCAGCTCCTTGACATTGTGGACTAGGAATTTGCGGAAGCCACTGGGCAACATGTGCTTTGTCCTCTTGGTGCTCCCGTAACCAATACTGGGTATTAAGATCTGGCCCTTAAATCTTCTCCGAACCCTGTTGTCGATGCCTCTGGGCTTGCACCAATTACGCTTAATTTTGACATAACGGTCTGACTGGTGGCGGATGAATTTCTTGGTCCTCTTTTTGACGATCTTTGGCTTCACCAGGGGTCTGAGGGCAGCCATTATGCCTCATCAGGGGACGGTGGGACCTGATGGAAACCGCGGATGACGATAGATTGAGACTTACCAGTGGCAGCTGACAACCACCTCCGTAGAAAGCACGGAAGGAAAGAGCCATCTCCAGCATTCTTGATCCAGCCTAAAATCATCTTTACCTCCGCTGTTTAAGTGACTGAGTTTACTCTCTGTGTCTCCTCTTGCCCCTCAAGTCTGTTTTTCTGTTTGAGAGATTTTACAGAATGAGAACTGACTTTCTGTAAAGGAAAACTTCTAGAAGGTAAAAAGTTTGCTGCTGTCCTGTTGTTTGCTTTACAGCGAACAGTATTAGGCAGGGCTCCATTTTCACTTGCGTGGTCATTTAGGTCATTTAACTTTCGTCTTTGAGGGTTTTGTTTTTGGGTGGTTTTTTATTCCCTCAGAGGCCTGAGCAGTTGGGCTCTGCTTTCATGTCACTGTTGCGTTGTTATTGGGTGGCACTGAGTTGAGTATAACTCCAAGTGACTCAATGAATAGCAGACCTGAACCCTGCCCTTTTCCTATCATATCACAGTCTCTGACATGCTGCTGGCTCGAATCCACCACCCGCTCCTTGGGGAAGAGATGGGCAGTCAACCCCCCGTGAAATTTACTGCCTCTGAAAACCTGCTGTAGGGTCAGCTGTGGGCCAGTTACGACTCTCCAGTGGTTTAGTGACACTGTCTATATTCTTCACAATGAGAAACAATCTTTGTTTCTGTTACCCTTGAGGGCAGCCTGCCTTCTTAGCTTTGGTTTGGTTTGGGGTTTTAAGAAAAGTACTAATTTGCATATGAAATTATCATGCATTTTGTTTCATGCATGTACATTGTGTTTCACAAAATCCTTCACATTTTATGTCATCTATCTATATCTATATATCTCTATCTCTACCTCTATATCTATATATATTATAAGCTTAATCGCCGTTGATCTATGCCTGCTGTTACCCTATCTTTTTAGGTTCCCGTTGGATCTTTCCTATTCCTTTGCCCCTCTGTCTATTGACTCTTTAGTCTCATATGTTGTTGTGTGCCATTGAGTTGGAATTGTCTCATAGCTGACCCTCCAGTGAGTTTTTAGATTCAATTATTCACGTGGGAAGAGATTGCCCATCTTTCTCCCACAGAGCAGCTGGTGTATTCTATGTGCCTTCAGGATTGCATCACAGCTTCTTTCCACTAGGCTACCAGAGCTCCATTTAGTCTCATATAGATGATTTAATAGGAGTACAATATTCATGGGTGAAATTCTTGATATCCAAAAACATATATGGAACAGCACGTCAACAGAAAACTGTCAGTTGTGTAGGCTGGGTTTAGAAGAGGCCATGGCACTAGGGATATTATAGCCAATGTTAGATGAAACTTAGCTGGAAGCAGAAAGTACCAGAGAAATGTCTATCTTTGTTTCAATGACTGTGCAAAGGCATTTGACTGTGCGGATTACAACAGACTGGCTGACTATGAGAAGAATGGTAATCCCAGAACATTTGATCTCACTTATGTGAAATCTATACTTGGATTAGGCGGCAGTTGTTGGACCAGAGTAAGGAAACGCTGTATGATTCAGAATCAGCAAAGGTGTATGCCAGGAATGCATCCTATCTACATAACCCTTCAGTCTATATGTGAAACAGATTATCTGGGAGCCTAGACTTTATGAGGAACAGTGTAGACTAAAGAATGACAAAGATTCATCAACAGCCTGCATTATACAGATAACACAACCTTGTTTTCCAAAACTGAGTAGGACCTAAGGCATTTGCTCCAGAAGGTCAAGGACTGTGGTCTTCACTATGGATGGAAGTTCAAGCAAGAGAACGAAGATTCTCACTTCTGGGGTAATTGATAGCATCATGATAGATAGTGAAGATTTTGAGATTGTTAGCAGCTTCAGCTTGCTTGGCTTCACCATAAACACTCTTGGTACCAGCAGTGAGGAAATCAAAAGAAGAATTGCATTGGGAAAAGACTATATTAGCCTAGAGATGAAGGTGTGCCTGATCCAGGCTATAGTCTTTTGCAGTTACTTGCTATACATCAGAAAGCTGGAAAATGACTAGGGATAATAGAAAGAGAATTAATGCCTTTGAGCTGTGGTGCTGGAGAAGAGTATTGAATACCATGGACTGCTAGGAGAACAAACAGGTTCATACTGAAGAGGGTTAACCAGGTGGCTCCTTAGAGGCAAGGATTCTGAAGCTTTGTTTGACATACTTTGGGCTTGTTGCAAGGATGAAGAACATCATGCTTGGAAGGGTGGAGGGACAGCACAAGAGGTGATGACCCTGGATGAGATGGGTTGACTTAGTGGCTGGGGTTATGGGTGTAGATGTGTTAGAGACAATGAGATTGGGTCGAGACAGAGCAGGGTTCAGAGCTATTGTATGTAGGGTCACTATAAGTCACAAGAGACTTAATAGCACATAAGAACAGCATAGTTAGAGGTTCTGTGCAACAAGACTTGGAGCTGTGCTGTGGTATGTTGTGCTTTGCCAGTGAGATGTAAAATACCCTGGAAGAGGTTGTTTTTGATGAAGCTTAAATTGCTTATGCTCCAGACTTCAGCTTGCTTTATCTTCTTGTTAGAAAGAGGATTGCTTTTTGATTATAAAAGTTATGTCGAGTCTTTTTTTAGAAAGCATTCGGTTGGGTTAAGTTTTCTTAAATGTCAGTTTTAGAGTTAACTTTCATATCAGTTTTTTGATAAAGTATTGGGTTAAATGTTCTTAAAAACTACCAGGTTTAAAAAGAAAGTTCAGTAGAGAAGGTTCACTCTCTCTTCTTCATAAAGATTAGTGTTCTGTATCGCCTGGCTTTTATTTTGGAGTAGGATGGCAGTTCTCAGGGGTGGTGGATCATGTGAAGAAGTTGTGTGGGTGGAGAGTTTGCTGATGCTTAAGTTGCTGTAAGTATAGCTTTCAGAGCAGTGTTTTTATTTGATACCAAGATCACCAACAAAATGACGACTGGGAAAGGTAGGCTGTTTTAACTAACATATTCTGAAAAATGTTCATAATTCCTGTCACTTGAACAGGGAAACA